CGGCCCCCGGTGCCTTGCCTCGTGTTCTTATTGTGCCCGTTCCAAGCAATGCAAAGCAATGCCAAGCATTACCCAGCAATGCCAAGCAATGAAACACGCAATGCCAAGCAATGAAAAGCAGTTCCAAGCAATGCCAAGCAATGCCAAGCACTGCCAAGCAATGCCAAGCACTGCCAAGCAATGCCAAGTAATGCGAAGCAATGCCAGTCAATGCTAGTCAATGCCAAGGGATGCATGCAATAGGAAGCTTTCTCCTAATTGGGGTCGTGCTGGGTTCCAACTCAAGGCGATCAGCCCACGTATCGACCGCACTCGGCACTCACGCCTGCCCAGTGCACGGTAACCCTGGCCCGTGGAAGGGGCCTGCCATCGAGGGCATTCCCCCGTATTACACTCCAGCCCAGATCAGCCACTTGGGTGGGCACGAATTCAGTCTATGTTGTCCCTCGCTTCCCTCGTTCTCCGCCTCCTCCCTCCCGTCCTCCCTGTTCGCCCACGACGATGCGTTGCATGCTCAATTCGGCTCTTTTTTGCACTCACCCCGCGTTGCCTCCCGGTCACGGGGGCAACGTCCACCGCCCTTGGGGCGTCAGGGGCGGTTTGCTCCCAGGGCTTCCCGCCCCCCTGCATCCCCCATGTGTGCCCCCGATTTTTTGGTTACTGTAGGCTCGCACTCGTTTGCCCTGCTCCTGCTCTGTGTCTCCTCATCTCTCTCGTTCTCCTGCGCTGCACTGGCAACGGTGGCACTTGGTGCTCGCCCATGTGGCTCGGGCCCTCTATTCTGAAGGGCGGCCCGGTTCTGAAGTGTCCGCTCTTGGCTCGCGTGGGGCTTCTGTGCGGGTGCCGCCTCCGACACTGCTCGGGATGTGAGGTCTGCGCGCGCGAGATGTTTTTTCCTGCGGGCGTTCGTCCGTTGATCTATCTCCCCTCTCTTTTTCCCTTCGTATTTCTATCCCTCCCTCTCTCTCACTCCCTCTTTCTCCTGTTTTTTGGTGTGTGAGTGTGTGTGTGAGTGTGTGTGTGTGTTGTGTCGTGTGTGTGTGGGTGTGTGTGTGCGTGTGTGTGTGTGTGTGTGTGTGTGTGTGTGTGGTTGGGTGTTTGGGTTCTATATGAATGGCCAGCCTTGCTGTAGGCTGTATGGGGCCGCACTCAACGACGATGTCCGGTTCCCCTTCTCTTCCTCCCCATTTGCTCCTCTTGGACTCTACCCACTCATCTCGCCGACATTCGTGACAGAAGGCTGGGAGGTTGATTCTGCATTGAGGGGTTTGGCGCGCAGACCGCACCAGAGGATGTGCGAATCATGTCTCCCTGGAGTGCTGGCACGTGGGTCACCTTAGGTCTACACATTGCCGCGCTGGAAAAAAAACGGTTAGGGAATCTCATGCGAAACGCGGTTGTACGCGGCGCTACGGTGAGAGCCACATTTTAAAAGGAGCCGCCCTCCATCCGGACCGCCCTTGCATTTTTTCTAAGCGAATGTGCGCGGCGTTAATGCGAGAGCCACATCTTGAAAAAGACCCTCCCTCCATCCGTGAAGCTCTTGCAATTTCTTAGGACGAATGTGCGCGTCGCTAATGCGAGAGCCACATGATGAATACCACCCGCTCTATCTGTGACATTCTTGCGAACTTTAAAACGAATGCACGCGGCGCTGAGGCGAAACCTACATTTTGAAAAGCACCCGCCCTTCGTCCGTGAAGCTTTTTTTGTTTGAGCCAGTGTGCGCGGCGCTAATGCGAGAGCCGCATTTTGAAAGCGGCTTGCCCTCCATTCGTGAAGCTCTTGCAGATCTCCAGCTTAAGGGTCATAAGCGGTGAGGATTTTTTAGGCGAAACGCCCGACCCGCCACACCGACACGCCTCGGGGTGCGACAGTGAGATGTTGTTCATAAGGGCAGGGAATGGAGGAGGAGGAGGAGGAAGAGGAGGAGGAGGAGGAGGAGGAGGAGGCGGAGGAGGAGGAGGAGGAGGGGGAGGAGGAGGAGGAGGAGGAGGAGGAGGAGTAGGCGGAGGAAGAGGAGGACGAGGAGGAGGAGGAGGAGGATGCGGGAGAGGGGTGAGGGCATTGCAGACGATGCCGCACCCGATGCACAGGAGCTTGCCAGCAGAGACGGTCACCAGGCGGCGGAAGGCGGCCTTCCTCCATTCCCTTTCTTCAGCTCTCCCCTCTTCTCCCTCCTCCTCTGCCCATGTTCCCGAACATCCTCTGGGTCGCGCCACCAGAGATGTCGGTTGGGCGGTCTGGGCATGTCGCGTGAAATGCCATGGTAATTTGTGCGAATGAGGCTTGACATGTTCAACGTGTGCGCAGATGGAGGGCATGCTGTTTTCAACATCTGGTTGTCGCCTCAGCGTCGCACACATGCGTCTTAAATATGTCAGACTCAGGCACAGATTGAGCAGGGGTTGCTTTCAAAAGGTAGCTCTCGTCTTATCGCTGCGCACGTTTGTTTTCTCGCCTGGTGCGCCGTGCAGAGCTAAACGTCTCAAGCAACGACATGTGTGGAGGCTGATTTCTTGTCGAAGCGGGTCTCTCACTTGAGAGTTCCTCTTGTTCTGCGGCGCACTTTGAAGCCACGGACAACCTCCATGCGGGTGGAGGTCGAAAGCTCGTTCGACATTTTCTCGGATGATACGGTCCGACATCGAAAGTTGCACAGCAATTGTGCGGATGGACGGGGGATCATTGAACGTTCATTCCAGTCAGTCTGGCGCGGGGGCGGCCCGATGCGGCTGGCAGGATCGAGGGAGGTAGTTCATTGCGGGGTACCTCACCTTTCCACTCGCATCCTCCTCCTCCTCCTCCCCCCCCTCCTCCTCCTCCGCCTCCTCCTTCTCCTCCTCCTCCTCCTCCTCCTCCTCCTCCTCCTCCTCCTCTTCCCAGAAACAGGTTTCCCAAGGGAGTCCTGCTTGCCTGTGAAAGGAGGCGGTGTGTGTGTGTGTGTGTGTGTGTGGGGGGGCCCTCCGTCAGAGGCGGGCTTGCCCTAGGGTTTGCCCAGGGTTGTGCCCCGGGGTGCCCCGGGGTTTGCCGAAGGCTCTTCGGGGTTGCCTGGGGTTGCCCAGGGTTGCCCAGGGTTGCCCCGAGTTGCCCGGGGTTGCCCGGGGTTGGCCAGGGTCGTGCCCAGGGTTGCCCGGGGTTGCCCGGGCTTGTTCGGGTTTGCCCAGGGTTTGCCCAGGGTTGTGCCCGGGGTGACCTTGGGTTTGCCCAGGGCTCCTCGGGGTTGCCCGGGGTTGCCCAGGGTTGCCCAGGGGTGCCCCGAGTTGCCCGAGGTTGCCCGGGGTTGGCGGCCAAGTTTGCCCGTGCAGTGCCAAGCAACGTCAAGGAGTGCCGCACAATGCCTGGCAGGGCCAAGCAGTGCCACGCAATGCCACCCCATGCCAAGCAGTGCCAAGTAATGCCAAGCAGTACCAAGCAATGTCAAGCAACGCCCAGGAATACGAATCAAGGATTTCCCAAGCAATGCCAAGCACCGCCAAGCAGTGCCAAGCAGTGCCAAGCAGTGCCAAGCAATGCCTTGCGTGGCACTGACTCGTAACCAGGAGTAGTACATGGGCTCTCCAGCTATAGTTTGGATGGCTGCTGGATCGTACCGTGGTGCGCAAGGTGTATGTTGCGTTCGACCGGGCGCACATTCGCCGTACAAGTTTGCAATTGTTTGATGGGTCCGTACGGCCGCAGGCCCAGGAATTGTGTTCTGGCACGAGTGCAGTCACGTTGATCTGTACTTCTTTATGTGAGAAAGAAGATCCCTAATCTGGGTCGCGCCAGGTTGTATTGCAAGAGGACGATCATTCTTGACGCTCACATGCGCCTTACGCTCGAGCTGTATGAGCGTTTCCCGATTGTCGCAAGGGGGGGGGCGGCGCCTTTGCAACATGGGCGGCGCCGCGCGACTGGCTCTTTTTCTGATGCGGCGCTCCTCGTGGTTCAGGCCATGGCGCGAGGGGATTTTTGAGGAAAGAGCTCGGGACAGCACGGCGTGTTGCAGCATCCTTGATGTATCTTGGGCCTGCTCCGGTCCTCCCTGTCGCCCTCCTCCTTGTGTGCCCCGCGCAGCCGAGGCGCTGAAATGAGGACGAGGGGGAGGAGCAAGGGGAGGAGGAGGAGGAGGAGGAGGAGGAGGAGGAGGAGGAGGAGGAGGAGGAGGAGGAGGAGGAGGAGGAGGAGGAGGAGGGGAGGAGGAGGAAGAGGAGGGGAGGAGGAAGAGGAGGAGGAAGAGGAGGAGGTGGAAGAGGAGGAGGAGGAGGAGGAGGAGGAGGAGGAGGAGGAGGAGGAGGAGGAGGAGGAGGAGGAGGAGGAGGACCACCTTGGGCTCTGGAGGGGCTCTCTGGTCTTCGGGCCGGGCCCCCCAGGGATCTGGGCCAGTGAGCCCCTTCGTGTCTGAGGCTCGCCGCAGCCAGGGCCTCCCCGTCGTCGTAGTCGTCGCCCCTCCCCAGGGAGGAGGGAGGAGGGAGGAGGGATGAGGGATGAGGGAGGAGACTCGTGGGACCTGTGCAGTTATCGGTGTGCCCCTGGGCGGCTGCCGTCCGGGTCTGCGTTTTCCATAATTGAGCAATTTGAAGAGGGCGAATGATGGGAAACGCAACCCCGGACGACTGCCCCAAGGACACATTGCACGGGAAACGCGTTTCCCAGAATTCGAATTCCGAATAATGGGAAACGCAACTTCCCTTTGAAAAACCGCACTCACTTGGCCAGAAGTGCGTTTCCCATAATTCCGAATTATGGGAAACGCAATTCTGGTCCATTGAGTGCGTCTTTTCAAAGGAAATTGCGTTTCCCATATTTCGGAACTAGAACTTACGGGAAAATCGTGTTGCTTGGGGCAGTCGTCCAGGACTGCGTTTCCCAGAATTCGGAATTATGGGAAACGCAATCCTGGACGACTGCCCCCCTCAGTGCTGTTCCCTGCAGCCACCACACCCTGGCACGGGCTCACGGCGCCCCCCGCCCAGGCAGATGCGCGCCCCCGCCTTCGTCAGAGCTTGCGCCACCGT